TGCCCCCACTGATGGCCACAGCTGGAGAATAAGGCTTTTGGTAGGAGGCATAACTGTTCTTATGGTTTTGCCACATGGCCATAGTAGCCCAAGGAGGGAAGAGCCCTTCCTTGTCCTGCATCTGAGTGTCAGCAAGTGAAACAGACCCATCAGCCAGGCACTGGACAAGATTCTCTGTTCAAATCTTTCTTGCACTCATCCACTGCCAGAGAGTGGTCCCACTCTTTTTCATGTCTCTTCTCCTTCTCAGAGAAGTCACCAGCTGGGAGGAACCCCTATGTCCCTGAGTCCATGCTGGTTTCTCTGTCCCACAGCTGGTAACCACATCTCAGTGATCTTGTTTCCTCCCATAGGCAACATAGGAATGGTTCTGGGGACCTCTTCTCAGGCAATCCCACCTCAGCATTGCATGTGGAAGCTCAGCTGGAGGATGCTGACTTTCCAGCTGGATCCCACCCTGTGAATTGGAGTCTGTTGCTCATGAAGTATCATCCAGTTCACCTGAGAAAGCCTAGGGTACTTGGTGGTTGTCCTGCTGCTGTTCCAGGATGGCCTGCCTCTCCCAAGTGACGTGGGTCTGCTCTGCCAGCCCTGTTGGAGGCTTTGCATGCCCCTATTCATCTCAGAGGGCTCTAGGCAGCGTTGATGGGGAATTGATGGCAGCCCTCAGTGTCCTGCACTCTGCTGTGTTTCAGGTCCCTTGGACATTTCAGGTCCTGCTTTTGGCTGATCTCCAGCGCTGCAGAGGGCTTAAACACCCCACAGACACAATTCTCCCCCAAAACCAAGGAATGACAGAGATGGCTACCTGAGGACAGATCCAGGGTCAGGCTCTTTCTCCAGCCTCAGTGGGTTGTCCCAAATTTGTCCCAGGGATTTTCCCAAATGCCACTGAGAAAGAGAGCACAGCTGACAAGGGTGGGCACCAGCCTGTCCTTGGGCACTGGTGCGTGTGCCTGGCTGCAGGTCTAAGAGACCAAGTGCCCAGGACAGGCGGATGCAGGAGGTTGGAGAATCGCCTCCAGAAGCACCACTGCTTCCAGAAGGGAGGAGTAGATGTTCAGTCTGGACTCAATCATCTCACTTGGAGAGCTCTACACTCAGGTGAAATCAATCCCACACCGTTCATAAAAGTGTATCTGCCGAGTTGATGCCTCCTCCTTATGAAGTGGTCGCATGGACTCCCTTCACTGTCAGTATGCAGAAAGAAGAGCTTTGAGAACATGATTCATCTGTTCTGAAATGAGAATGGGAAGGGGAAAATCAAGTGCCCTTTGGAAGTGCTAATGTCCTCCCAAAGAGTGTAAAGAGAGGCTTGCTACCCAGCCAGCCTTTCACAGCTCTGCAGTTTGGGGACTTTGCAAATCACATTAAAGAGTTTCCACAACGAAGCCCAAAATGGGTGGAACGATGCACTGCTAAAAACTGATCTGGAGTTTTAGATGTGGAAATGCCCTGACACATCTAGTGTGAAACATAATGATTTGCATATTTTTGAAAAAAATTAAACAGTACTTTCAGATTTTGGATAGAGAGAAGGAAGTGGAGTATAAATTTTGTTGACTGTCTTATGCTAGGAATAATGGCTATATGTAGAGATGCCAGACATTGTCAAATTTTATCTTGAACCAGAGCATGATTCAGCCACAAGAATGGGGCATAGGTGCATCCAGAAAATGTCAGACTAAATGGAGAAGTACATGCCCATTTCCTAAAGCAGTAAGCCAGCTACTGGGACTTCTTTAGGGGATTCAGGTGAATCCCTGACAAAGTGAAGCACTTAGCAAACTGGAATACAAACCTCTGCAAGGACAGCTCCTCCAGTATTCTGTCAGAGAAGAGTTTCTGGATGGTGTTTGTGACCCTTTCCAAATGCTGGTCTTTAGAGCACTGTGAGTTTACCCAGAAGTGAATAGAGGGAGGTGGGAGCATTAGAATCAAGGCTCAGCCCAGCATAAGATGGCTGTAAGGTGAATGAGATGAGCTCACTGGGGAACTGGTGGCTTCTCACTACCTGTGATGCCCAGGTGCACTTACACTTTGGTGAGGAACTTCTGCAGTGTAGAAGTCGTGGGAGAGAGGGGATGAATCTGTTTGCTCCCACTGAGGCCCGTTGAAAAGCCAATTTACTTCTTCTGGAAAGCCCACCCCAGAGCTTGCTTCACTTCTTTGTTCCTGAGTATGAAATGAAGGGGTTCAACAAAGGAGTTACAACTGTGTGAAAGGTAGTCACGAGTTTGTTCAGATCCAGGGAGTTCTGGGCTGATGGCTTGACATACAGGAACATGGTGGATCCATACCAGATTGTGATAACACTGAGATGGGCAGAGCAAATGGAAAAGGCCCTTTTCTGGCCATGGGCTGACTGGATTCTCAGCATGGAAGAGGTGATGTACATGTGGGAGTCCATGGTGATCACACAGGAGGCCACTAGAGCAATTATGGAGGCAAGGAAGGTTGCTAGCTCCATGGGCCACGTGTCACTGCAGAAGAGGGCAAGGCAGGAATCTGTATCACAGAGGAAATGATTGATGACATCTGGCCCACAGAATGTCTGCCTGGATGTCAGAAAGGACAGCAGTGATATGGCCAGAAAGCCTCCCAGCCAGGAGCTGAGCACCTGCTGAGCAGAGAGGACACTGTTCATGAAGGAGCTGTATCTCAAGGAGTAGCATATGGCTAAGTAGCGGTCATAGGCCATGACAGACAGGAGAAAACATTCAGTGGAGCTGAGGGAGAGAGGAAAGAACAACTGGAGGATGCAGACACTGAAGGAGATGGTCTGGCTAGTCCCTAGTATGACTCCTATGGCTTTGGGAACAACGCCTGTAGTGTACCAGTTCTCCAGAAAGGAGGGATTACAGAGGAAAAAAATACATTGGGGTACGGAGGTTGCTGCTCATCTACACAAGGGCTATGATGGATGCATTGCCTATTGCTGTCAGGGAGTACATCAGTGCAAATACAACCTCAAGGGAGACCCAGGAATGTCACATGCCTGGAAAGCCAAGAGGGATTCTTCCACACTTGTCCCATTTCCAGTGTGCCCCCATGTGTTGAGGTTCATCTGCGAAGACAGGAAAGTCTCTGTGAGAGTTCGCATGCCTGTGCAGGTCCTTCAGATGCTACTAGTAGTGAAACAAAGCCACCATCCCTGAAAAAGTAGTTGCTGCAGAGCACGCGAAAACAGCATCTGCCCTAAGTTAAAATTCTCAGGGAAATCCTTTGCTGGAGAAACATGTTTGGACAACTAGATCTGGCCCTGAAGGACAGGCCTACACCGTCAAATGAACATGGAGAATTATTTATTGGATCAAGCGCAGGCATCTCCTTTAGAACATGTTGAATGCAATTGCTTCCGTGAGATGAAAATTCCATTTAGGAAACTGTGGATGGCAGGCTGAGGGTCAAAAAGGTCAGCAGCGAGACGGCTGCATACATCAGAGAGTCACCAGCATCATTAGCACAAGAACATCCCCACACCCACCTCATTAACACACTGAAGCTCAAACCGGCCACGCTGAGGAGGCGGTTTTCTGATTCCACTCTGTGTGCCACAGGGAGTTTGATCTCTGGGGGATCTCATGGGTTTGTTGGAAATGGATAATGCCCTCTCTTCACACCAGCCAATTAAAGAACAGCAACACAGTTCTCTAAAATGTACCCAGTTGCTGACAGGCAGGAGACGTCTGAAACAGCTATGTCCCAAGAGACTGGAGATGTGAAGTATTTGGTACTGGATATTAATGTGGTCTTGAAACCTCCAGGGTGGGAGATAACTAAAGGCAACTATGGACACTTGAATACAGAGAGAGTAAGGGAAGGGATTCACTTACCTCATTTCCAAGCCTTTAACCGCAGTTAAGGCCTAAGTCTTCAGTCTTCCTTGAAGTGAAGATATAAGTAAAGACCTAAGTGCAAAGTCAGACTAGACATGCGTTGGGGGAAACTGATCTCCCTTGCCTCCAGAGCATGTGTCTCCAGGTAATCTACTCATCTTTGCTCCATTGATCATCAACAGAGAGATAGATACAGTCAAGCCTCCGTTCACCCTGTCTCATACAGATCATAGAATCATGGAATCATAGAATCGTTAAGGTTGGAAAAGACCTCTAAGATTATCGAGTCCAACCGTCAACCCAACACCACCATGCCCACTAAACCATGTCCCCAAGCGCCTCATCTACACGTCTTTTAAATACTTCCAGGGATGGGGACTCCCCCACTTCCCTGGGCAGCCTGTTCCAGTGCTTGACAACCCTTTCACTGAAGAGATTTTTCCTAATATCCAATCTCAACCTCCCCTAGCGCAACTTGAGGCCATCTCCTCTTGTCCTATCGCTAGTTACTTGACAGAGGAGACCAACACCCACCTCACTACAACCTCCTGTCAGGTAGTTGTAGAGCGCGATGAGGTCTCCCTTCAGCCTCCTCTTCTCCAGGCTAAACAGCCCCAGTTCCCTCAGCCGCTCCTCATCAGACTTGTGCTCCAGGCCCTTCACCAGCTTCGTTGCCCTTCTCTGGACACGCTCCAGCACCTCAATGTCCTTCTTGGAGTGAGGGGCCCAAAACTGAACACAGTATTTGAGGTGCGGCCTCATCAGGGCCGAGTACAGGGGGACGATCACCTCCCTACTCCTGCTGGCCACACTATTTCTGATACAGGCCAGGATGTCGTTGGCCTTCTTGGCCACCTGGGCACACTAGCCATTCTCCAACAGGCTGTCAACCAGCACCCCCAGGTCCTTTTCCTCTGGGCAGCTTTCCAGCCACTCTTCCCCAAGCCTGTAGTGCTGCATGGGGTTGTTGTGGCCAAAGTAAGATCAGGCAATCCATGCCTTACCAGCATCTATTTTTCTTCTGTTCACACTTAAGGTAGACTAGACAGCTGGATTGAACAACACACACACACGCGCACGCGCACGCGCACACACACTCACACGCGCATCTCGGCCTCTAGGCATCTAGAGTTAGTTGAGAAGACTTGCACCTAAAGAGAGGCTGCGTACACTATCCAGGTCCACTGCACAGGTGTTGGACTTGACAGAGTCATCTTCTGCAAGTCCTGTGTCCAAGGCTTCAATGTGTTTGTGGGGAGACTGATCTGCACTTGGTATGAAGGGCATATGCAGCTGATGAGAGTAATGTGCCCAGCTTGAGCCCATTCACCCCCCCAAAAGACCTCTCCCTGCTATCCATCTGTCCTTGAGTACCTTGGACATGGGTATAGGGTTTAACAATGGAATGGAGGTGCTTGCAAGGCTAAGTAGATGTGCGCTCATTCCTCAGTGAGGAAGAGGACCTGGTGACAAATGACAGGGAAAAGGCAGAAGTACACAATACCTACTCCTCCTTAGTTTTTACTGATATGCCTTCTCCTCAGGCCTACCACATCCCTGAGCCTTCCTACTGACTCTATGAGAATGAAGCAGCACTCAGAGTAGTGGAAGAAAGAACTACGGAGCTCTTCCTACCATTTGGACATACACAAGTTCACGGGAAAGTGAGCGGGACGCCTTGGGATGCATCCAAGGATGTTCAAGGAGCGGACTGGACAGTCTCTACTCAGTCCCTGGAAGGAAGATGGGGCAAATGCTCTCAGAAGACTTTTTGAAACTCATGAAAGGCAGGAAGGGGATTTGCAGCAGCTCACCTGGGTTTACTGAGGGCAAATCATGCCTCACCAACCTCATAGAAATGAGGAGGTGACTGGCACTGTGGGGAAGACGAGGGCACTGGCTGCGGTGTACGTTGACTTTAGCAAGACCTTTGCCATAGCCTCATGGGTGAACACACACGAACCCATATGCACACAGAGGTATGCACACTCACAGGCATGCACACAAATACGTGTGCTGTTGGGGAATTTTTATTGTACCCCTTGAGGCAAATTAAATACACGCTTTAGCTTAGATATGAAGAAAAACCCCACCAAACTATCAGTGTATTAGACAGTCTTGTACCCCCATAAGCAGATCTACAAGGAGTCTGCAAAGATGCGTCAAGAGCCAATTCCTTATCTATGTGCACTGGCACCATCATCCTGTGAGCGTTGGCATGGGGCACTTC